TATTATCATTACTAAATAAGTTTTTAGTGCGATATATAATGTCTTTTCCTGAGCCACCGTCTAATTTCTTATGCATTTTAAAAAACTTTCTATTTGGAGATGCACCATCAGCAGTTGCAGCAATTACTTTCAAATTTATACTTTCAAGATAACGTACTGCTTTCCAAAATATTGGCATAAGTTGTGTTGATGTTACTCCAGTTGTGGCAAATGTTGCTAGACTATAGGAAAGTGGGTTTACTACACTTTTAACATGAAAAACTAAAACATAAGATGCTAGCTCTCTTACATTTTTAAGTGTTGCATAGTTTGTTTGAACATCTCCTAAATCTACAAATCCAATCAACTCACCAGAGTACTTATCCCAGACCAAATCTTCTTGAACTTTCATTTCGTCAAACAGAATTGTAACAAATCGTTCAGCACTAGAGAAACTAGCAGTTTTATATGCAAGATCACTTATGACTTGAGGATTAAAACCTCTTGAAGGATGTATATAATTTTTATAGTCTCTCAATGTGCGTAAACTTGGAAGAACTAAAAACCCTGAACCAGTCTTACTATCAAAACGCAAATCAGAATATGCTGACGAAGATTTAGCTGCTAAATTAAGACAAAATTTTATTATCATTGGATGATACTTTACGCTACAGGGACTAGAAGCTTGAATATATTTTTGCTGCTCGTTCCAAAATAGTTTTATGAAGTCTGGAATATTTTTTTGATTAAAACTAGAATACAATGTTTTAAGGTCTTGGTCAAGTTCTAAATTAACCTTTTCACTTTCCATATTTAAAACTGTTTTCATTTGTTCAATTTGACTTTCCAACTGTTTGCATTTTAAACGTTGTTGTTGCAAACTTAATTTAATTCTTTCTGTGGAGGTAAACTTAAGAGGAGCGTTCAGTTTTGCAGGTTGTTTTAAAGTTTTATTTTTATTATTTACTTCATAATTAGATTTAAGTTGCAAAGAATGGCATGAAGAACAACAACTTTGGGATTTTATTAAAACATTACAACACGGTGAACGATAAAACTCATCTTGATTTAATCTAGGTTTATTAGGAAGCAGCTTAAAAAGCAAGTAATTAAATTTTTTAGTTATAACATGTTTTTCAAATTTAAAATTTTGGTTAATTAAGTCTAAATTTTTTACTTCAACACCTGGGCAAAGAATAAGAGTTTCAATATGACTTATAAATTTGGATAAAGAAACATTAAAAAAAGATCCTTTATATTGAAGGTACAAAAGATGATCTATTGGTAACATCCAACCAAAAATTCTTATACAATAGTCTAGCAACTCGTCGACATAAATTTCGAATTTAGGTAAAATATGTTCTGGAGAACTACAAGTAATAATTGCAAATCTCTCATCAAAAGATATTTTCCATCTTTCACTTAAAGAGAGTTTTAAAATACGTTTGGTAAAATCATCAAAAGATTTGTAACATAACGGTGTAGTTTGAGAAATCAACTCTTGAGTTTCTAAAAACTCCTCACGTTTTGTAATAGATAGCGAACTTCGCTGCGATGGATTACTTTTCTTGGGAAGATTTAGGGTTGGCAATGCTGCATCCTTTAAAATCTTTCGAGATGAGTAAACCCAAAATTGATCTTCAGTAAAGTGAAGCTCACAAATATAAAGATTAAAAGAATCAATTCGTTTTTTTAAAGAATCATCGATGAGTCTGTCTCTAGTAACTACGTTAATAAGGTCATTACTCCATTTCTTATTTGCATCATTAGTTGGAGTAGGAACTTTGAAAATGCTGATACCTTTGTGTCTTCTTGAAGTTGAACAACCAAATATTGCACAATTTTCACCAGGCATATCAAGAAAACTAATTTCAATCAAAACACAAATACAACTTAATAAAATAACGGGCAAACGCTAACAACAACAATCTTTTTGTGCAGGTTCGGAAGTCCGGAAACGAGAAAAAACAGTATGAAAGAGTTAAAACAATACGCTATTGTTCGCTTCCAAACTATTCTTTCTTATAACTATGATGGAAACCATATATACAATCGATTGCTAAATTAGCTTCTGCTAAGGTTGCTTCTCTTTATCGTATTCGCCATTTCCTTACTTCTGATTCCATTCTCTATCTCTACAAATCTCTTATTCGTCCCTGTATGGAATACTGTTGTCATATAACTATAACATATCACTATAACTCTGTTCTTTTTTTTCCTAATAATTCCCAACTTAATAGTGGTTCCTTGCAGCCTTGTTAGGAGTGAATGCAAATAAAAAAAAATTAATAAATTTTGTTTTTAGACAATTTCATAAAAGACTTAAGTTTAGACTCTGCAAAAAGTGATTCTATTGATCTTATTGCCTCTCTGATCTTATAACCTTCATTTACCCAGCATTGCGACAATAGCGCAATCTTTAGAGCGTTTAGAAATCAGTGACATGGGGGTTTGTATTATAAAAACATTTTGATTAAATTATTTTTTAAATGTACAAGCATTGCAATAAAAATTTTCCACAAAAATGATTAACTTTATAAACTAAACTACACCTTTTCAAGATGTAAATGAGAACATGAAAGTTGTAATTAAGAAGTCGTAATATGTAATTAAGAAACACAACATGTAATTGAGAAAACGTTATATGTAATTGAGAAACACAACATGTAAATAAGAAGTCGTAACATGTAATTAAGAAACACAACATGTAATTGAGAAAACGTAAGATATAATTGAGAAATCATAATATGTAATTGAGAAATCGTAACTTGTAATTGAGAACACATAAATTAAAATAGCAAATTCACAGTCTAAGTTTGTAGTTTGTTACAAAAGGTCTTTTTGGACATGAATTTAAGTTATAATCTTAAATTTTGCTTTTGTATGCACAAGTAATAATAATGGAATTGAAAGATCGTTGTGTTATATGCCAATACACTATGACCCGAAAGTCTGTGATTAAGCTAAATCCGTGTCAACATTTATGTCACCAAATTTGTTTACGTCCAATTCTGGAACAACCAGATTCAAGTTGTCCGATTTGTCGGCATGAAATACACACAACTGAACAAGTTGAAAGGAAGAGTTGTTGAATGTGCGGAGCGATTTGAAGATTGGGTGAATCTCGCGCAAACGCTAGGTATCAAATATAAGACAGCATACAATTAGGTTCGCAGCGGAAATTCAAATTTTATCGGAAAAGGAGGTTTTAAACCGAAAAAGTTGACCGAAGATCAAATCGAAGAAACATTAACATGGATTGAAAATGATTGTCAATTAACATTGGTGGCCATCAAAACAAAGATCTTAAGACAATTTAACATAAACGTTAGCACAACAACAATAGCAAATTACCTCGAAGGCAGATTGTTCTCATTAAAAAAAGTGCACAAGGAGCCTTCTACAATGAACAGTTATGAAAACAAACAAAAAAGAGCTGAATATGTTAGAAACATCAACGAACATATCACAAATGGTCGTCAGATAGTTTGGTTGGATGAAACAAATTTTAACCTTTTTTGTAGAAAAACGCAAGGAGACAAGGAAAAAGAGCAATTATGAAAGTACCTGCTTCAAAAGGTTTAAACATACACTTGATCGCAGCTATTTCAACTACAAATGTCGTCATGATAGAAACTCGCAGGGGATCATTTAAAGCAGATTCCTGTAATGAGTGGTTGTTGGCTATGTTTCACCAGTGGGTTACATCCGGGAATCGTTTGGAGGATTTGGTCGTCGTAACAGATAATGCTCCTTGTCACGCTCGTTTGCAAAGGGTGTTTGATAATTCACCAGCTCAGTTGTTACGTTTAGGACCTTACAGCCCAATGTTGAACCCGGTGGAAACGATCTGGTCCAAAATTAAAAGTAACGTTAAAAATGCAATTCGCATTCCACCTGTATTAGGTGACGGGATTGCGGAACAGCGCATGCAGTACTTAGAACGAATTGTAATTGAGGCGAAAAATACTATAATGGGAGGAGATTGTGCACGTGCGGTACAACACACAACCACGCACTATGCAACTATTTTAAATATGGAAGACGAACAAGTTGGTGCTTAAATGATCAATGAAGTGATTTTTAATTATATAATTTTTAATTATAATTTTTAATTGAATTATAAATTTTTCCCTAAAATGTTTTTAGTGTTTATTATGCTAAATTCATTTGCCCAAAAATTATAAATTTTTCCCTAAATTTTTCCCTAAAAAATTAAATTTACGCTACAAATCTTACGTCATTTTTAAGTGCGTCATTTTATACGCTCCATTTTTTTACGCGCCATTTTTTTTAAGCGCCATTTTACACTTACTCCTTTAAAGCAATATCTAAATTAAAATTTTCGTGTTCTCAATTACATCTTTCTATTTCTTAATTACAACTTACATTTTCTCAATTACATGTTACAATTCTTAATTACAATTTTCGTTTTCTAAATTACATTTTATGTTTCTTAACCCTTTACCGCTTTCGGTAACCATATGGTTACCACAACTTTCTAAGAATAATAAGGACTTATATACTTCGATTTTTAGTCTAATTTGTTTTATTCCTTAAAATATCATCTTTTAAAAACTAAATAAAGAAGCCATATTATCATTTCAGCATATTTAAAGTTAAGTACAATTGAAACTAAAAAGTTGATTTTGATTAGTTTAAAAGTAACTCTTTTTGTAACAATCTTTATGACATCTTACAAATGTTTCCTCACTAATTTTTTTCGTATTTTTATTACCAAGATGTACATGTTTAAGGATAAAATATTCGGAAATGTTTTAGTTAAATATATAAGAAAATGCATATGTCTAAAGTAGGTGGTAACCATATGGTTACTCCGAACAATTAGTGTATATAATTGAACATGTTTACCTTTTTTTTCATAATAATTACTGCAAGTGAAATAAGGCAATGTTTTTTTGTTTTATTACTTTAATTATGGAAAAATGCACTCAAAATATTTGTGTTTATGTTCATTGATATGCTTCTATAATAATTTTTAATATATAAACATAGCTAAAATGAATAAAAAGTCGTATACGATAAAAGAAGCATTAGAAATATTGCTTGCTCCGTGTTCTGATTCCGAGATGTCAGACTTAGATGAACTTGATGAAGAAGAAGCAGCTCTGCAACCATCCTGTGATGTTGATTCTGACATAGATCTTATGGTGGAAGATAATGATGCAGAAAAGAATAAAAATACTACAAATAAACAAAAAGTTGAATTCTGTAAAGACTCGACAATGTTTGAAAAGTATATCCCTCAATGGGAAAATAAAACTCCTCCTGTTATCAATGCAGACTTTTTAGGACAAGAATTTAGTTTACCTCCAGAAAATTTTGATACTTGGACCCCATATACCTACTTTAAAATGTTTTGGAAAGATGAGCTAAATAAATTAATTTCGGAGCAAACAAACCTATATAGTGTTTTCAAAACATCAAAATCCATAAACACCAACACACAAGAGATCCAGCAATTTATTGGTTTACAAATGTTAATGTCAATTGTGAATCTCCCTTCATATAATATGTATTGGGCAAATGATACTCGATATGCACCAATAGCAGATGTTATGTCCATCAACCGCTAAAAAAATTTGCATGTTAGTGACAACTCTCAACAAGATAAACCAGAAAATAAAGCAAATAAGCTTTTTAAAATTTACCCAGTATTAAATCATGTTCATAGAAACTGTATTTTAGTTGAACCCGAAATTGAACACTCAATTGACGAACAAATTATTCCTGCAAAAACCAAATATAGCGGTATTCACCAGTACAACCCCAAAAAACCTGTAAAATGGGGATTTAAAAACTTTGTACGTTCTGGATCTTCAGGCCTTATTTATGATTTTTTTTTGTATTCTGGCTCCGTTGACAACCAAAAGTGCACGGGTTCTTATGTAGTACATAGATTAATCGAAACACTACCAAGAAACCAAAACTTCAGGCTTTATTTTGATAATTGGTTTGCTTCAATACCATTGTTTCTTTCATTGAAGGAAAAGGGATTTTTAGCAGCAGCCACCCTTCGATCTGATCGAGCAAAAGGTTGTCCATTGCCCCATGAAAAAGATCTTAAAAAAATCGGAAGAGGTAGTCACAGTTTTCAAGTTGATGCTAAGAGCGGCTTAGCAATTACTAAATGGTATGATAGTAAGTGCGTTCAAATGATTACTAACTATTGTAAACCGCAATCAGTTGGCAAGGTAAAGCGATAGGATCGACAACATAAGAAGTTTGTTGAAATTAATTGCCCGACTGTTGTTCAGGAATATAATAAATCAATGGGTGGAGTCGATCTTTCTGATATGTTGATAGCACTATACAGGACATCAATAAAAACAAAACGATGGGACCTCAAGATCTTATTTCATTGCATTGATATAGCAAAAGTAAATGCTTGGCTCATCTATCGACGCCATAGTAATCAATTAAAAAAGCCTAAAAAATGTCAACTTAGTCTATTACAGTTTACAGTTTCTATAGCATCTGCTCTTGTTAAAACAAACATCATACAAAAATCTGTTGGGCGACCTTCTAAAAGGAAATCTAATGTCGGATTGCCAATCGAGCAAAGAAAACGCCCAGTGCATTTACCAGCTGACGATGCTCGGTTTGATAGTACTAATCATTTTTTGTAATTCGTTCTATAACTTTGTAGTTTTATTTAAAGGAAGTTTATTTGTATTATTTACTTTTATTCCCTAAATGTTCAGAGTAACCATATGGTTACCATCAGTATTTACAAAACTGCTGACGTCAGCGCAAAAAACTTTTTAGATTTGAAATCAGTATCATAAATCATGAACTTGTGCCAAAAAAATAATTTTTTACTCAATCCTAAGACATAGTGAGTGGTAAAGGGTTAATTACAACTTACGTTTTCTCAATTACATCTTACGTTTCTTAATTACAACTTTTGTTTTCTCAATTACATCTTACGATTCTTAATTACAAATTTTGTTTTCTCAATTACATCTTGAAAAGGTGTAGATTTTTTAGAACAAAAAATTTTCTAAAAGTGTTTTTACAAAAATCGTTTACTTTATTAACAAAATATTTTCTAAAAATCAGAAATATTTATGAATTACTTAAATAAGATTTATACAGTTTATTTTTTTAACTTTTAATGCTCCATATATAAAAAAAAGTAAAGTAGTAGACTTTAAGCTAAAACAATAGTTGTTTTAGCTTAAAACAACTTTAATATCAGCTAAAAATATTCAATTTAAATATATTTCTTAATTTCCTTATTTTTCGATTAATTATCTGTATTTAATTTTAAAAAATAAATTTATTCTTTTATTTACTTTTTTGAAAATAATTCTGATTTATGACAAATTTTAAAAAAGATTCTCTCTAATTCTTATATTTTGTTTAAAATATAACTTATAATATCAGATGAATATATAAATGAAAATATGATAATATATCTAAAATATACAAAAAACTTTTATAAGTTATTATAAATAAAAATAACTCATAAAAAATATCATACAAATATGTCCTTAACATTATCATAGTTGATGCCATTACTAAGATGATCATAACTATTGCGATTTAGTCGTTGATCACGTTCTTCTTGTTTTATCCATTCCTCGTGAGTTTTGCCTGGTCCTATCAAATACGTTATAAATATAACATCAGATAACAAGTTTAAATATAGTTTTTTATTTTAAATTCTTAAATACCCCAAAGTTTAAGAACTTTGGGGTATTTAAGATTTTCCGATGATCATAAAGTTTTAAAATCTTAAATAAATGATCTTAAAAAATGAAATAAAAATCTTACCTTTTAGTTTAACTTTTAAGTGATGAAACTTTGTGTAATGATAATATGGCGTCTGATTTTCAGTATTGAAGTCATTGTATAAATTTTGATCATTTTCGTTCTAGTAGTTCCATTTAATGTAAAACTGAGAAATGGATTTATATGGCTTTAAATTGTAAAAAAAGAAAACCCCCAATTGAGGTTGCAAATCCTCTGAAACTAGTATTTAAGCTTCCCAGGTAAAGTCTTTAGTAGACTACATCAAAAATTGTCATTTTATTACAATAACTTAAACAATAGCCTGCAAGTTTTTGGGGCTGAATATTTATTTTTATCCTTTGCTTTGCTCAAAATAGATTATCCAAAATTTTGTTTATTTTGTTCAAAAATATATAAATATATTTATTATTCTGTAGAGCAAGAAAGGTATAAAAAAATAGTTAAAGCGCTTAAAAAATTATCGTATTAAAAGTATAGAAAAATAGCTAAAACGTTTAAAAAATTATCGTATTTAAAACCAAAAAATTATTTTTAAAAGGGAGAGAGAAGGTTTTTAAAATTGTTGCGTAATTTTAAAAATCATCTGGTTGCAAACAACATTCTGTTTACCACTACTTTTATTTCCAAAATATTTAAATCAGTCAGACCTATTTAGTCAGTCTCGAAAACTGTTTACACATTGAATTTTTTTTTTAATTTACCTAGTGACTATTAGTTACACTTCCAAATGCTTAATGTCCTTGGGTGGCTCGTTTTATCATTTAGTTTTTCAGGGAAAACATCCACTTTGCTATATTTCAAATCATTTCAAAAAAATATGTTTTGAAACAGCTTAATTTGCGTGTGGAATGTGACGTGTAAACAGTTTACATAGAAACTGATCACACAAAAGCTATAATTTTTAGGTTTACAAACGTGGTTTTACTACTTTGTATATAATGTATACATGTATTTATTCATTTTTATATGTATATATGTCTATATACATATATAATATTTCCTAGATGATAAAAAATAATAGAAACTTAAACAGAAACAAAAACAAAAAATTAAATAGGAAAAATTGATAGTAAAATAGCGTAATTGCAAAATAGATGTTGCGTATACAGCAACATCTATTTTGCAATTACGCTATTTTACAATTACACGTTTTATTTTAAACGCTTATAAAATTGTCATTGTAAAAATTTTTAAAACAATAATGAAACATTAACGCTAGGTGTTTTATCAATATAAAAAGGTTAAGATGGTATGTAAGTCGTTGCCGTATATTTTAGACCATTTAGTCAAATCAGAGGTCAGTTAAGGATAAATATATAATCTACGACTCAAAAGGAGGTGCAGTTGTAAATGTCCATCAAAAGATCAACAATCGATTAGACACATGTGTATGAATAATCTCTGACTTTAAACTTTAAAACCCAATACCCAAGAAATGCCAGGGAGTAAAGCCATTCTCATATAGGACCAGTGTAAAAAGCTGTAAGCCAATGTAGTCATGACTCGGAGATTCCAAAATAGATTAAAGTCTATGCGCGAAAAAAAAACTGATCAGAGAAAAAAATGTTCAAACACACACCTAGAACTGACTATGTAGGCTAAAATTTTGTTTTGGTATTGGTTTAGAAGATGTTTAATGCTTCAAATTATAATAAAAATTAACTGAAATTAAAGTGACATACAGTTAGGGGGGAGGAAAGTTACAATAATTTTCTTATAGATAACACTCAAAGTAGCTTGTCATTCTGTTTAGTTTCAAAAAGTTGTTGCTTGATGATCAATTAAAAGAAAATATTTGAACAATCGCTTACATACGATACATCTTAATGGGCAGTGTATGGTATAGGCGGTGTATGTTACAAATGCAGAGAAAATATAAAGATCTAAATAAAAAAATATATAAAAAAAAATATAAAAATAGGTAAAAGGTCTAGCCGGAATAAAAATATCTGCAAATGGGTATTAGATTAAAAAATGAGTTTATAAAATTGCAAAAATATTTTTTAAATTTTTATTAAAAAAGGGCCTAATGTATGTTTTTTGAAAGATATTTTTTGTAAATTGAAAATAAACACATTCCTCTCATGATCTCAAAGTCAAGTTTTTGTCGTTGTTTTCTTTACAAACTTGTTTTTTTTAAGTTTGATTAGTATTATTGATTAGCATTACTGATTAGTATAAGTGATTAGTGACTCGTGATTAGTATATGAAAGTATTAATATTACACAGAGGTTTGGATAATTTAAATCAAGAGTTGTAATTCAAAATGAATACTCAAAAATATTTGACTCAATAAATCTGTTTTTAAAAATTATTTTTTCTTATAGCGCTCATTATACCTCAATCTCATTATAAATCTATTATATTTATATATAAATTACTATTTGATTTATAAATATATAACACCAGGGTTTTGCTCTAGGGCGGGACAACCTGCACAATCGCGGAGAATGTAGAGTTTTCCTCAACACCGGTGTGTAGCTATCACTCCTAGACACAAGTGTGGAGTTATTTTAAACAATTTTGAAAATAATTTCACACTTCTGTGCAGAAGTTGAGTTAGAAAAAGTTAATTTCCACAAAAGTGTTCAAAATAACTCCACACTTGTGTCTAGGAGTTTTCCTCCACCGGTGTGGAGGAAAACTCCTAGACACACCGGTGTGGAGGAAAACTCTACATTTTCCGTGAGAGTGTGGACATTTTTTCTGGGTGGAAAATTAAAAGGGTAGTATTTTGATTTTTATGGTGATAAAATATTTATAGTCAGTTAATCAAAAAGTATATATGCTCATTCTTTTTAGTTAAAACCAACATGTAATTTTTATTTTGTATTTATTATTTTATTTTTTCTAAAAATTATTTGTCACCCACCCTTGTCAGGAATAAAAATTTTTGAGTCTCTTTTTATAGATGGGCAATAATTTTAAAGCATGTTGATAGAATTACTTTGAACCATTGAGTGACAAAAGAGATTTCGTTTAGGAAGGATTTACAATGCCTTGCTAAGCGTTTATAAAAACCCAGAAATTGATAATTTGATAGTCCAAAACCTATATTTTACTAAATTGTATCAAACAGTTTAAACTTTTGTGCTTAATAGTTTTTTGGTGTAGAATATTAAAATGCAAAAAGCAAGATGATGAAAATAAAAAATTAAGTTTAATATCTGCTCTTGATGCTTTACAAAAATGAAAAAAAGTTTTGGGATATGCTCGGATAAGTCCTTTAATGAAACTTTTGTTGATGCAAATGAATTAGCTCATAAATTGACGTTGGCTCTAATTTTAAATCAACAATACCACGACACCAAACTATAAGAAAACCGAACTCTTCATATGAAGCACAAGATGAAACAATCAATGAGTATAAAAAAACTAGACTTTTTTAGCTTTAAAATTAATAGCATTTAGTACTTATATGCGCTTGATACTAGATTGAAACAATGTTATCGTCATAGTAACAATTTTAAATACTTTTAAAATATATACGACTTAAAAGCCATGTCTATAAAAAACTTTGATGATGATTTTGAACAGACTTAGTAGAAAAATTTTGTAAGTTTTATTGCTTTTTGGGAAAAAAAGAAAACTTAAATGAATAACTCTAACTTATAACAATATGCTCCATTAATTAATAACATTTTGCTTCATTAATTATTCCTCTATTATTTAATAACATTTTGTTCCATTAATTATTCCTTTATTAATTAATAACATTTTGCAGGGGTGGCGCCAGCATTTTTTGGTCTTCGAGATATATAACTTCCAGACAAAAAAGCCTCAAGCATTTTCGTCTGGAAGTTAGATATCTCATTTTAGCCCCATGCCCCAAACGTGAGAGCAACAAGTTGAAATATATTTTTTGTACTATTTTCATCTAGACTTATATTCATCGAGAAACTTTTCAGTTTTATAGTACAATTTCTTAGTGTTCAAAAATTATGACCACTTTAATTTGCAACTCCCTTAAATTGAGGGGGTTTAAACTTTATATGGTCATACTTTTTGAACGCTAAAACATTTTACTATGAAATTTAAAATTTATTGATGAATATAAGTCTAGTTGAAAATAGTTCAAAAAATATTACATCAATTGTTGCCCTCACGTTTGGGTCAGTGGGGCTAAAAGTTTGTGTCATTTTTGTTCACAGGCTCTAATCATCGCAATATTTTGCAAAACATCCTTATTTGACATAAGTATAAACATATAAATATTTGGAGTTTGCTCCATGTCTGGAAGTTAATTATCTCAAAGATCAAAAAATGCTGGCGCCACCCCTGACATTTTATCCCATTAATTATTGCTCAAATAAATTTTGCTCCATTAATTAATAACATGTTGGTCCAAACCTTAGTCTTGTCTTAAGAGTATTATATACAATACCAATAGCTGTAGTAAGTGAGGAAAGAACTGTTTCTAAATTAAAATTAATTAAGAACTAAAATGATTAATTTAATATGAAAAAAGTTTGCGAAACATCAAGAGAAAAAAAAAGTTTTTGTGATTTTAGAGTTGTTGGTTTTAGAGTAGTTTGTTAAGTTTGTCTTTTAATAATATGATAATTGTTTATTTGAGTAATGAAGAATGCACTTGTTTAGTAGCATTAAAGAAGTTTTTTTAATATGTACTGTTTTTTACTACTTGGCTGAATTATCAATTTTTTAGTTGTGAAAAAACTAAATATTGGCTGCAGACTAAAAGTTTATTTTCAGCTATTGCAAATATCTTAGTTGACATTTTAAAAGTTTCATGGGATGGTAATTTACCTTTTTCTCTGGGTTGACAAAAAAGCTAGTTTTATTTATAAACTTTGATTTACAAATTTATAAATATTAGTTTATATGATAATTTAGAGTATCAGTAAAACTAGATTCTGACCTCTTTGTCTTGATAACAGTCACCATGGTTGCACAAACTTGTATAACGAGTGTCATCTATATCTATACGTTTTGCCGACCAACCAGTAGTTTTTTGTTCTGAAAGTTCAATCAATATTTACTTGAATTTAATGTAATATTTTTATTTTTTAAATTATTATGTTAATATTTTATATTAATTTTTTTTATATTAGTTGTTATATTATGTTTATATTGATACTTTTTTTAATTAAAGAACAAATGTCTATTTGATTTAACTAAAAAACTGGTACCTTACTCAATTAATTGTAAAAAATTATTTATTTATAAGAAATTAAATTATCCAATAATGTTCAAATTATGCCCTTTGTAAAATTGATTCCAGAATTTAATCTAGTTTTAAAATTAAATATTTATACCTTCGTTTTTTTGTTTTTGTTTCGTGTGATATTTCAAATTAAAAAACAAGAGTTATCAATAAAAATAGTTGCATATAACAACATTAACAAGTAAAAAACAAGAGTTATCAATAAAAATAGTTGCATATAACAACATTAACAAGTAAAAAAACAAAAGTTATCAATAAAAGTAGTTGCATATAACAACAATAACAAGTAAAAACAAAAGTTATCAATAAAAATAGTTGCATATAACAACATTAACAAGTAAAAAAACAAAAGTTATCAATAAAAGTAGTTGCATATAACAACAATAACAAGTAAAAACAAAAGTTATCAATAAAAATAGTTGCATATAACAACAAAAACAAGTAAAAACAAAAGCTATCAATAAAAATAGTTGCATATAACAACAATAAAAAGTAAAAAACTTGAAATTTGTGTAAAATAATTGAACTAGTATAATGTTTACAAAAACAAGTCGTATGTTGTATGTCGTATGCCGTAAAACAAGTCGTTATGCCATGTCGTATTTAAAGCCGCATGATCTTTGAATTAACGACTTGATTTGTAAATTAAAATAAACACATTGATTAAAAGTAGTTCTAACCAATTCACTAATTCTCTCTATATAAAACTCTTTTTCACTCTCTTTATAAAACTATCCGTTTTATACAGCAGATATAATTTTATAACTATATAACAATATATAGTAATATACAGTAAACTGCCACTTATTCGAACCTTGAAGGGGAATGAGAGCCTATTTCGAATAACTAAAATTTTGAATAACTGATAATCCTCTTTGAAGTGGCCTACTTCAAATTACTATCAAATTTTCTATCAAAAAAGTAGAAGACCTTTTGAATAAAATGTTGCTTGTAAAGTCACAAATCATTTACAATTTTTTGAAAAAAAACGTCATTTTTTGATTGCTTTTTTGTTTCAAATGAGTGTTTGTCAAACATCTTTGGTAAGAGGTTTGGTAAAACAGTTTTTTAAGAAAGATGATACTTGATGAAAACTTAACATGGAAGTTTCTTATCTAATCCTTTGAAAGTAAAATCTCTTATAATATTTCCTTACTTTATAAAACAAAACCAATTTTAAATACTAGAGCTCTAATGAAAATTTATTTTTTATTTATTCACAGCTATCACTGCAAAAATACATGGGAAAGTACGAATAACAGAAAATTCAAAAAACTTTATATTAAACAAAAGTATGCTTGTATGATTGTATTTGGGGCAAACAGAACTGTGTATTGCGAACCACTATTAGATCGTCTCAAGGCCTTGAATATTTACAAACTAAACATTTAACAAATATTAGTAATCATGTTTAAAATGACGCGTGGAATATCTCCACTTATATTTCATTCTTTAGTGAAATATCTCATAAGTATCCAACAAAGTTTTTAAAGAATAACGTTATTGTTCCAAAAATTAATTTAAAAATGAACTTTTACCTAATTCAATATTGAGGACCTTTTTTATGGAAAAATTTTATCAAAAAGTTCAATAAAGAACACTATTCACTAGAAAAATTTAAAACAGATTCTAAAAGAATCTTACTTCAATTAGACTTTAATACAATAGACTTTAAATATATTTTTTTTAAAGGTGATTATAAAATAGAAAAAATGTTTTCATTAGCACTAAATATATATTGTTAAACATGGCATGTTTGATACATTGTATCAAATATATTTGTATAAGTATATCGAGTGGACAGGGAAAAATCCGATCAACTTTAAACTGAGATTTCTCTGAAACCATAAATGCTTTTTATTTCAATTTTTTTTTTTCTTTATTTTCTTTTTTTTTTTTTTTGTTATTTAGGTGCCCGAAGAAGACCTAACGGTCTTGTCGCAGAGCACCACGGAAGTGCATTTAACCAAGAAGTTCACGCCCCTTTTCTTACCGTGATGCGAAAATATGTCCAGAGCTCGTTATGGGTCCAGGACCCAGTGGGCACAGACGTAAAAAAGACGTCTCTTAAAAGTCTTATACACGTTTTGGACATCTTTTGAACGTTTTTTGAACGTTTTGGACGTCTTTTGAACGTTCAAAAGACGCCTTTTTTAGGTCCGGTGCCCACCAGAGATCTCCTGCTTACAAAGCAAGTGCTATAACCACTGCGCAACGCCCGCTTAATTTATTATTAAATGTGTTTATATCAGTTAAAGTTTCAATTTAATTTTATGAGGCTTGATGGGCTGTTTGGCAAGAGATCGAATTTTATAGCGAGTTAATGCCATTATTTCGCAGATTTTTTCTTTTTCCACCGTATTGATGGCATTAATCCACTTTTTAGAAGTTTATGGTATTAATCCACTTTTTAGAAGTCCTTTTTATTAGTTGTTACTCTACTTGTCTTACGAATAATTCCTTTAAATCAGTTTTCACCAAAATCACAAAAAAAAAAAAAAAAATTTGAAATAAAAATTAGAAATCTTTTTTTTGCCTTAGGACCTAACGGTCTTCTTAGGTCAAAGAGCACCGCGGAAGAACATTCTTTGTATTCGAAAAACAAAGTTTTTGAATACAAAGAAAAAAAAGTCAACATTGCAATCAAATTTTAAGATTGATAATATAGACTAATACTTATATATATTTAAAAAATTTAATGATTTAATTTAATTCTTACACTCAAGAGTGAATAATAAAAAACTCAAATCACGATTGATTTGAATACACGAGTGATTTGAATAAAAAACTCAATTTACACTCAAGAGTGAATAACAAAAAACTCAAATCACTAGTGCATATTTAAACACTATGGCAAAATTGTAACTTCTTCAACCTGTCTGTTTTTGGTAGCGTATGCAAAATATTTAAGATAACATCACGTTCTACTTTGATTTTCAACTTTATAGCTAATTTTGATTAGTTTATTTTTTAATTAGCTGTTTTAATATTTTAAATTTTTAGTCTTCCTTAAACTTAATCGTTGTACCATAAAGAAATTGTACCTACCTCGACGAGAAAAAACTTTTTCATTAAAACGTTTGTCACGCACTATGTTGCTTTTGTAATGTTTATCTATCTTTTCATACAAGTTAGTTGAATTAACAACATGCTTGTTTTCTTCTCCTGAACTCAATCCCACCTCATTTGATTCTCCAGAACTCGACTCGTGGTTTAAAATTGCTGATATATTATTGTGAGTGCCAATCGAATGATGATCATAAGAATCAATACTTTTATTAGGATTTCCTTTTAAAAAAGAGAAATAGTCTTGTTTGCCACTACCTTCAATTTCATTACCAAGGTAACTTGCCGAACTTTCGTCAAATTTATCTTCACGATCGATTATATTTGCATTACTTTTCACTACCTCAGCAGAGATTTTATGAGTAGTAACATTTGACCTATTGCTTGAAATGTTACGCACTAGAGATACATTCGAGAGATTTTGATAAGAACCAAAACCTAACGTTGTTTGTTGTAAAATGCCGTTTTCAGTGGATTTATTCATTAAGTTAATTTTACCTGGTTTAGAAGAAAGTTCTAAGCTCATATTTTGTTCATTTAAACTATTCTGCAACCGCGTTATTTTGTCGCGCTTCATATTTAAAATTTCTTGTATTTCTCGAAATAAACCATCCATGATTGTTAAACAAGTAAAACTTTGTAACACAAAATTTAAAAACAAAAATTGTAAGACTTTCATTTTTAGAAATCTTGACTAAAAAAGCAATTAAAGTTATTATGTTGAGTTATGTAGGTTATAGCGGCAAATAAAGTTAAAATTGTACCGAAAAAGCGCTAGTCACAGCAAGATGCTATGAGCAATATTAAAAGCAAAACGTTAATAAAATTCACTTCGTATTTAAAAATGCAAAACATAAGTATATATTACGGAATAAAAGCGATGTTATGTTATAAAACGATTATACATCTTGTTAAATAGACGAGGTTTTGTTTAAATTTGCCGAAATAAGCACACCTTTAACTGTCGATTTTAAAAAAAATCTGATTCCTCAGGAGCGTCCAAGTCGCGATACTTAATAACTTTACGATCTCTAAAAATGGCAGAACCACCACTGAAAAAAAAAAAAAAAAATTAAGAAAAATAACAATTTTATAATAGATGTACACTGACTCACCTGATGTAAAATTATTTATACAAATCAGTAAATAATAATATATACAAATCATTAAAAAAATAAACATTCAGGGGTCTTCCACAAAGTATATACGCATAAAAAGGGAAGGGGTTACCCAAAAACGTACGAACGGGTACAGAAAGAAAGGGGGAGAGGGGAGGGGAGGGAGGTAGGGGGGGAGGTGGCGAAAGAGAAAGTGAAAAAAAGTGCGAGTGCAAACGACAACCTATCGATTGAAATCAAAATAAGAAAAGCTTAGGACTTTAAACATTGTTGGTTCAACAACAGAATAAAACCTTTCTTTTCGTTGATCTGTGTAATAAAAAAGTTATTAAAAAAAGATAGAATCCAAAGATAGTAATCAAAAAGTTTAAATTTAAACAATAACATTTACATAACTAATGTCGTACTACTTATTATGCAAAAGCAGAACAAAAGATTTGTAGAATCAAAGCAATTGAAACTGGAATATGATTTTATGCCACAAGCATATTTACTTGAGTAAAAGATTCAAAAACTCACATTTAACCTGCACTAATCACACATAAAAACTAAGTAAAAAATATGTACTTAATTTTTTTATCTCAAATTTTTTATGATTCAAAAACACAACTTTTTTAAATCTAGGATCTTTTTAAAAGTACTTAAAGTGTAAGGACTACTTGAAATTCCCAAAATAAATGTAGAAAATTGTTAAATGCAACTACAGATTTTTTTACATAGTTTATTACAATGATAATTCAAGGAATATGAAGTCTGATACAGAAGACTGGGTTAGCATCCACCCAGTCAAAATCACGTGACTATATCGCGAAATCTAAAGTAACCATAATGAATTGGGGAAACAAACTATTTTTTCTTATAGGCTAAGTCAAGAAAACGTTATTTAACGTTATTTAACTTTATGTCCTACAACTACTTTAAAAGTTAATGAAAAGAAACAGCGGAAAGATGCCTGCAAAACAAGCCTTTTATTTTTACATACTTTTAAATCTCTGTTAAACAAAATGTATAAAATAAATTCAAAAATATCAGTACTTTTCATACCCATATAAGGTATCAGTACTTTTCATACCCTAAAATAACCAAAATAATATGTAGGCAGCAATGTAAGGCATAGATTGCTGTCTACATATTATTTTGGTTATTTTATATAAAATTTGGTATAAAAAGTACTGATATTTTGATACTTATTTACAAATTCTAAATTAAGATGTAAATTAAAAGTAATCCACCAGTAATAAAGTGCACAGAACAAACATAAGCATTAGAATATTTAGTAGACATTTTTTTAAAAATTAACTTGACAAACCGCTACTGATTTTTTAGTTTGTTTTCCCTCAATACAAGATGGTTAATCTTAAAACAATTGAGTGACGTCACGTCGACTTGATGGATAGCTAAAAATGTTTATGTACAAAAAAATACTTTTTATGTATTCTTACAAAATATTTTGAAGAATTGAGATCAAAATGCCCTATGAGAAAAATTGGATTTTCAAATTTTTTTCTATAAAACAAAAATGATGTATTATTGTAGGATATTCAGATATCTACTGCGTGAGTTTACTGCATTTACCAAAATTTGGAATTGATTATTAATTGAAATTTTTTATAGGCCTAAATATACTCTCAAGCCTAAAAATATTTAGTGCATTTTACAAATCATAATAGAATCCAGAAATCCAAGTAAAAAAGCTAATATTAACTATGCTGAATGAAAAAGTACACTTAGCTTCTCATAAATGTTAAACTTTTATATCTAGTATATATTAGGTTTTTGTAGTTTTATATTTTTAGAAATTAAAATTATTTCTTAGCTCCACAAAAACAAAATACATTTTGTTTTTGAGGAGCTAAAAATTATTAAAACTTTAGAACCTCTACGTAATTTCACATCTAAAGGTATTTGAAAGAAAATTAAGAATTACTAAAGGTATTTGAAAGAAAATTAAGAATTACTAAAGGTATTTGAAAGAAAATTAACAACTACTAAAGGTATTTGAAAGAAAATTAACAATTACAAAAGGTATTTGAAAGAAAATTAAGAATTACTAAAGGTATTTGAAAGAAAATTAACAATAACTTAAGGTATTTGAAGGAAAATTAACAATTAAAAACAATAAACATGTAAGCTTTACTTATAAAGGCATTTATAATAAAAATATAATTACCGTCTTTGTTTTGGTGGGTAAGTACTCATTCGACCATATGTTTCTTGTGTTATTAATGGTGGTTGAGAAGTAGATAAAGAATGGGGGGTAGCAACAGATGCGTTATAAGGAGGACGAGGTGCTTAAAACATAATCAAACAAAATTGTTATTACTTAAATTAACAGCAAAATAAAACTATTCAAGTGCTAAACTAACTTACTTGCAAACGAAGCTGGTTGTCTAGCAGAAGGTACCCATGTACGGTTTGATGTTACTGGAGTAAAGGTAGTAGTTATAGCTGGATTTACACGCAGTTTAGGATCAGGAAAGCATGGGCGCTTGCTATCATATACATAATTGTTGAAAAACATAACCTAATTTAAAAAAAAAAAAATTAAACAATAAGTAAAAACAATTACTGTTACTTATTTTGGATTGATCAAGGTCAAAACCCAAGTAAGTATACACAAGGTGAAAATAGATACATTCCAGTGATAAAGTTGAAAATCAAAAATGATTGAAATCTAACTATTAAATCTAACTGTTTGAGAAAAAAATAATAATTTTCTTTTTGGCACTTGACTGTACATTGTACTGAAATGACAGCATTCAAAAATTTTGCACATTTAAAGTATTCAAAAATGCTTTAATTTCTTTGCATTATTTTACACAAGCACAATTACAAAATATTATTTATTAAATAATAATTATTTGTGATTGTACTTGTGTATAAATATTGCTAAATATTTTACACAAGCACAATTACAAAATATTATTTATTAATTAATAATATTTTGTGATTGTACTTGTGTATAAATATTGCTAAATAAAATTTAGCAATTAGCTAT